CTGAGAAGGACTGTTTTTGATGTTGTTGACTGACGTTTCGACAACCTTAGCGGTAGTCATCTTCAGAGTCAAATGAGGAGTAAACGTCAGGTTAGCCGTATTTATGTCTGATTCTTACGTCATTGTATTGTGTGTGCAGAATGTGGGAAATGTGTATTGTCATTGTGGATTAGTGTGAAGTGAAATATTTTGTTTTAGTTGTGATGTGTGATTTAGGTGTGACGTTTTAGGATTTAGTATATTGTGATTGTCAATTGTGTATTGTCATTGTGAATTAGTTTGACGTGTAATGTTTTCAGTTGATCGTTTGTTTGTATTGTGAATAAGTCGTTTGTAAGGTGCCGGTAATTGCTGTGATCTGTTCAGGGGGGTTTGTTCCAAGTTGGTATACCAACTTTCTAATGTAATGGTCTATAGTCAGTACTGTAAGTGATGCATTTTGCCGAGTCCCAGTCAATGTTGTGCTTTGTGATTCGGTGATGTTCGGCAATGTGATTAGTTTTGTCTTGTTTCTTAGTAGCTCGTTTGTGCTCAGTAAGTCTTATGTTTAAGTTCCTGCCAGTTTCCCCGATATAGGAGGCGTGGCAGTCGAACGATTTATTTTGTAAACTGCACCTTGTCGTTCGTTGGGTTGTTCTTTGTCCTTTATGTTCGTTAGTACTTGTCGTAATGTTGTGATTGGTTTATGTTGCGACACGTATGTTGTATGGTCGTAAGATACGCGAGATAGTCTCAGACATTGCTTTGATGTAGGTATCGTTGCTGTTGTCACTGAGTTGTTCGTTTCGTTGGGTTCGTTGGGTTTGTAAGTGTTGCGTTTGATAAAGTCAGGTTATAGTTGTTTTGTCAAAAACACGTTTGAGATAGTTGTTTTCGTTTTGTAGAGCGTCCGGTGAATCACATATGATTTGTGCACGTCTTGTTAATGTTCTGATTGTGGTAGCTTTGTGTGATGTAGGGTTGTAGATGATTGGTCTAGTAGTCGGTCAGTATGTGTTGGCTTGCGATAAACTGTTGTTCCTAGTTTTTGATTGTCATGTTTACCAAACAGTCGAAAGGAAGAGTTCCGTTTTCTTCGACATCTTTGAGTAAATGTATATGCTATTCTGTTTGTTGATGTGAGTATGGAAGTCATCAATCTCGTCTGCATGTAGTGCTGTGATTGTGTCATCTACGTAGCGAAACCAAAAGGTAGTGCATGTTTGTAAGTCATGAGTGCCCGTTCCTCTATAGATTGCATTACAATTTCCTTAACTACAACAGAACGGGCGAGCCATTGCTGTCCCATGTAATTGTTTGTAGTGTGTTCCTTTGTATTGATAAGTAGAGGTGAGGCAGAGCTCTGGTAACTCCATAATGTCTTCTGTCGGTAATGGCAGTACGTCCGTGGTTTTGTAATGAGGGTTTTGTACAAGTAAGTGCCAGATTAAGTGGAATACTGGTGAACAGTGATTTCACATCAAAAGTACTAATATATAGTTGTCTGGTATTTGTATAGTGCACAGTTTTTTAATGAAAGTTTCAGTGGATTGTAGCTTGTGTTTTGATTTGTTTGTGAGTGGTTGCAGTATGTTAGTCAAGTACTTTGAAAGTTCATAAGTAGGCGAACCACAGAATGATACAATTGGTCGCATGGGTATTTGTGGTTTGTGAAGTTTTGGTAGTCCGTATAGTCTGGGTGGTTAGGTACTGAACATCTGGTCGATAGTAAATACGTTCAGATATAATGTTAGATTTTCTCATAGAAGATCTTGCTGTTAAGTTGCGTACTAGTGATGATGTTGGGTCTCGTTTGAGTTGTTCGTACGTTTGTCTGTCGTTAACAAGTGCGTCCATTTTGTTAAAGTAATCATTCCTGTCCATGACCACAGTCACGCGTCCTTTGTCTGCTGGTAAAATGACGATGTTGTTGTCGTGTTTTAGTCGTTAGAGTGCTTGTTGTTCGTCTTTTGTCAAGTTGTGCCTGGCGTATCAAAGAGACTTGTGAGAGACAACAAAAGACGAGATCAGAAGCAGGATAGCCTCCACTTTACAATCGTTCTCTATACGTGACAACAACTTGACAAAAGACGAACAACTAGCACTCAAACGACTAAAACACGACAACAACATCGTCATTTTACCAGCAGACAAAGGACGCGTGACTGTGGTCATGGACAGGAATGATTACTTTAACAAAATGGACGCACTTGTTAACGACAGACAAACGTACGAACAACTCAAACGAGACCCAACACCATCACTAGTACGCAAACTTAACAGCAAGATCTTCTCTATGAGAAAATCTAACATTATATCTGAACGTATTTACTATCGACTCAGATGTTCAGTACCACGACCACCCAGACTATACGGACTACAAAACTACAAACCACAAATACCCATGCGACCAATTGTATCATTCTGTGGTTCGCCTACTTATGAACTTTCAAAGTACTTGACTAACATGCAACCACTCACAAACAAATCAAAACACAAGCTACAATCCACTGAAACTTTCATTAAAAACTGTGCACTATACAAATACAGACAACTATATACTAGTCTTTTGATGTGAAATCACTGTTCACCAGTATTCCACTTAATCTGGCACTTACTTGTACAAAACCCTCATTACAAAACCACGGACGTACTGCCATTACCGACAGAAGACATTATGGAGTTACTAGAGCTCTGCCTCACCTCTACTTACTTCAATACAAAGACACACTACAAACAATTACATGGGACAGCAATGGCTCGCCCGTTTCTGTTGTAGTTGCTGAATTGTAATGCAATCTATAGAGGAACGGGCACTCATGACTTACAAACATGCACTACCTTTTGGTTTCGCTACGTAGATGACACAATCACAGCACTACATGCAGACGAGATTGATGACTTCCATACTCACATCAACAAACAGAACAGCCATACAATTTACCAAGATGTCGAAGAAAACGGAACTCTTCCTTTTCTGTTTGGTAAACATGACAATCAAAACTAGGAACAACAGTTTATCGCAAGCCAACACATACTGACCGACTACTAGACCAATCATCTTACAACCTACATCACACAAAGCTACCACAATCAGAACATTAACAAGACGTGCACAAATCATATGTGATTCACCGGACGCTCTACAAACGAAAACAACTATCTCAAACGTGTTTTTGAGCAACATAACTCTGACTTTATCAAACGCAACACTTACAACGAACCCAACGAAACGAACAACTCAGTGACAACAGCAACGATACCTTACATCAAAGGTACGTCTGAGACTATCTCGCGTATCTTACGACCATACAACATACGTGTCGCTTACATAAACCAATCACAACATTACGACAAGTACTAACGAACATAAAGGACAAAGAACAACCAACGAACGACAAGGTGCAGTTTACAAAATAAACTGCTCCGACTGCCACGCCTCTATATCGGAAACTGGCAGGAACTTAAACATAAGACTTACTGAGGCACAAACGAGCTACTAAGAAACAAGACAAAACTAATCACATTGCCGAACATCACCGAATCACAAAGCACAACATTGACTGGGACTCGGCAAAATGCATCACTTACAGTACTGACTATAGACAACGGCTTACATTAGAAAGTTGGTATACCAACTTGGAACAAACCCTGAACAGATCACAGCAATTACCGGCACCTTATAAACGACTTATTCACAATACAAACAAACGATCAACTAAAACATTACACGTCAAACTAATTCACAATGACAATACACAATTGACACCCACATTACAACTAAAACGTCACACCTAAATCCACATCACAACTAAAAATAAAATATTTCACTTCACACTAATCCACAATGACAATACATTTCCTGCACATTTCCTGTACACACAATACAATGACGTAAGAACCAGACAATAAATACGGCTAACTGACGTTTACTCCTCATTGACTCTAGAAGATGACTACCGCTAAGGTTGTCGAAACGTCAGTCAACAACATCAAAAACAGTCCTTCTCAGGACTTTATTAACCTGGACGATCATCATTTACAAACATATAACGATACTCCCGGGTTCAAACCATTTACTTTACAGAAAAAGATAACATACTATATGTCTAGGACAAATACATTCAATATATGGCACTGCAATAAATTACTTTCACCTGTAAAAATTATTCTACAGGTAAAAAGTTATTTTTTCCCTCAATGAGATAAGCTTCAATTAAACATTCACATAATCAACTTTCTTTGCACAATTAGAAATTATTTTCATTACAAATTAATTTACATTAATGCAACTAAAAAACAATATATTTCGTGCTTCGTTAACCTTTTATTTCGCTACTATATGTATAGGAAAAATATATTCAATATATAGCACTGCAATAAATTACTTTCACCTGTAAAAATGCGTCGACTTCACTACCATTATATTTTACACATTATACTTAATATATAGTACCCGGAGGTCGACGCCCCATTAGTTATTGAAAGTACGCAAATTTATGTCGATTTTTGCATTTGGTTTGTTTTCAGCCATTGTACTAATGATGTTTTATCAACATTTTGGAAACAAATAAAATAAAATCAATTATTTGTAATTTACTTTCTTGTGACTAAAATACGAATAATTTTATCCGCTTTCTTTTTTGAAAAGTTTTTTTATTATATACAATCAAATACTTAGATTGTATTCTTATAATTTTTATTTAATTTCATCTTGTTTTACGTAATTCTTATGAAATTTTATGTAAATGCAGTTTGTACATGTCTATCGTTGAAATCAGCGTAGGTTGACTGGGTTAACGTTTCTGGATAAAAAATTTTCAATTTTACTATTCTTCGACTATGTTCTGAACGGTTGAATCATTATAAGTTGGTATAGCCATTTATTGTACTAATGAATGATTTATGATTTTTAATACGCGCTATGTTAATAGCCACACCTATAAAGTCATAAATAGGAGTAAAAGATTTGGCTGGCTTTGCCACTGAAACTTATGTTGTGAATAACACTTTGGATAACTTTTTTTATTCATACAATGGCCGAGTTTTTAGCTACGTCTTCACTTTGGAAATATTATTTTATACTCAGGTTTATATATTTATTCTATTTGAAAAATTATTTGAATGAATGATTGTAATTCCTTTTATAAAAGCTGTAAAGTCTACCAATTTCGTTGCTCAAGATGACGTTTATATCACCCACGAGGATGCTGCAGCAAATCTGGCCCAAGATGATGAGATTATTGCTCAAGATGAGTCGAAAATCAACGGTGCTGGTAATTTATTGCTTCATTTAAATTAAAAACAAATTAATTTTTATTGTTTTGTTCATCGGGCCGATTGAAAAACATAAATTTTGCGGGCCGAAAATTTGATATCATGCGGCATTAATCATGTTTTAATAATTAATCAAATTTAGGGTTGACTGTCAATCTTACAAAATTGAGCAAAAATTTGACAAAAGAGATACATGATGTGCATGGAATCCAAACATTGAAATCGAGGGAAATTTGGTCGCCATCGTCCATTGAAGCACCCTTTCGGCTTCTTTCAAATATCGAAATACCACATAATGGAAATCAGAGTAGTGGAGCATCTCGCGGTACGATAACGCTGATTTGTCTGAAGGATGGTGTTTACTCCGCCTTGACATGCGCACATATTGCTTGTGCCACTGACCACCAGCAAACACTTCTTGACGGAGAGCGACTGGTATCAATCAGCAACGCTGTACAAACCTTGAATAAACACGATGAAAACAAGTATATGTACACACCGTCTAAGAGTGACTGTAAAGCAGAAATTGGATCTTCTCATCGACACACCTTTGCTCAGTTTGATAGTGAAACAGACATCATGTCTATCAATATTGGCAAGCAAGAAGATTTCAAGAAACTTATTGGTGATGAAATGGAAGATGTTGTGTTGAACTTGGATGATGCAAATGAAGAACTTCAACGAAGGGTTGAAGACAAGAAGGAGACTGTTAAAGTTCGCACAGCCACTGGTGTTGAGGGCTCCATCAGTGAATTGAATTATGAGTATTGGTGTAAAAATTCCACACGTCGCATTTTCCAGAATGCCATCAAGATAAAAAGTTGTCAAACATTTCTTGATTCCGGTGATTCTGGTACTCTTGTTTGGTTTTTGGATGAAAAAAAAAATTGGCAACCGTTTGCGTATGGAGTTTGCGAAATATGTGATGATGGTGACAGCGGTTCAGAAAAAAGTTACATTTGCCTGAAGTTGAACCACGGCTTAAAAACTCTTGGTCTTCAAAATGGTCAATTTTTTATACTTCGGGACAATGGTCTCAGTCTATCCAACAGTGCTAAAAGCGGCGATGGTGAAGGAGGTGCAGCTAACAAAAGTAAGATGTTTTGATTTACCGCTTCTTTGCCTTGTATGAACATTTTGCCGCCATAAAGGCGTGCTGTATATCAATGAAGAAAGTTTCGTTTTCTATAAAGTAACGCTAGCCTTTTATATTCTTTTGTTTTTATGTAATATTTCAAAAGACTCTAGAGTTACGATGAATCATCGACTCATCAATTATAAACTTTTGGTTCAATTGCTTGCTGAGGATTGTAGCTAAGAATTGCACGAAATATTTTCATGACTGAATAATGATAACTTTAAACTTTTAGTTGAAGAAAAGAAAAAAATTTCTCTTCTGAGTGCGGAGTTAACTTCAACAATTGGTAAATTTGATATTTTTTGTTTGAGAGACTCCAGTGACAAGTCCAGTGACATTGTTTCGTGTTACATTTTGCAGATGAACCTTCCATTGGCATTACAGGCGACTTTAAAAAAATTTTGAATTCAATTCCTTCTTTTAGTTTGAAGTCACCTTCAAAAACTGGTATATTTGATGTTTTTGTTTTAGGAGATTCTAAGTCTAATGACATTCATTTTGTGTAATATTTTGTAGATAAAACTTACACTCTCAACACAGTCGAATTTAAAGAACGTTTTCTCACAAAGGATCACAAAATTAAAGATGAAGTCCATGAAATTTTAAAAAGGTAAATGTTTCTTATCGCTTTTACGTCAATTTTGACTTATTTCACATGAGGAAAGGGCATCGAATATCTTCACTTTTCCACATTTGCAGTTTTCCTTGGCTTTGTGGCAAGTATGGTACAGCACGTCCTACTGATGAGATGAATTATCGTCACATGTATCTTGAAGTTGACGAATCAAAGACTGAGGATGTTTTAAAGCAAGAAATCGATAATAAGTTTAAATGGAAAGCTTCAGATTACATCGAATTACGTTATGTGGACCCACGTAAGAAAATAGAAATCCAACAGCTATCCAACAATGTTATAGTAAGGCGAGATAAACCCAATAGATCAATGTATGGCGCGTTGACTTTGTTCTGCTGTAAAGATGGACAGTATTACGCGTTGACTTGCGCCCATGTTGGTTTCTTAAAAAGTATTCCCAAAGGGCAAAGGCTCTTGTACATTCGACACCTAAGGGAAAACGAAAGATATTTTGAGAACTATTTACATGAAAACAAATATTTCTACATCCACCAAAAAACAACTGAAATAGCTCTTGGCAATTTGACTGCTTACTCATATAATCAAGAAACCGATATCATGGCCATCTTGGTTGATGATAAAGCAACTAAATTTACTGCAGCTGAAATAGAGGTACCAAGATCTTTTGATGACGCTATCGATTTTCTGTCAGAAAAGGTTGAAATTCAAAATGTTTATAAAGCTGGAAGGGAATCTGGGGAGAACACCATTTTCGACGTCAATTATTCTTATATTTTCAATGGAACACCTGTATATCGTGACGTGGTGGCAGTAAAGAGTGATCACAGATTTTTCGAGAGAGGAGATTCAGGGTCACTGATCTATTATTATGATGAGAATAAGAAAAAAATACCGTTTGCTTATGCCGTTGCTAAAGTAAACGACGGAAACGAGACATACTATGTTTGTATGAGATTAAAAGATGGCTTAAAAAATCTGGGACTTCTCGAAGATGTCAGCTTCAAAGACTTCTCAAGTGTGACAAATTGATTTCTTTTGTGAAACAAACATTACATTTCTAAATCATTACCATTTATGTATTCATATAACATTTATGTTTTCATATAACATTTATGTATTCATATAACATTTATGTATTCATATAACATTTATGCTTTCATATAACATTTATGTTTTCGTATAACATTTATGTTTTCGTATAACATTTATGTTTTCATATAACATTTATGTATTCATATAACATTTATGTTTTCATATAACATTTATGCTTTCATATAACATTTATGTTTTCGTATAACATTTATGTTTTCATATAACATTTATGCTTTCATATAACATTTATGTATTCATATAACATTTATGTTTTCGTATAACATTTATGTTTTCATTTAACATTTATGTATTCATATAACATTTATGTTTTCATATAACATTTATGCATTCATATAACTTTTATGCCTTCATATAACATTATGCATTCATATAACTTTTATGCCTTCATATAACATTTATGCATTCATATAACATTTATGCATTCATATAACATTTATTCATTCATATAATATTAATGCATTCTTATGACATTCATATATTCGTATGACACTTATGTATTCATATAACATAAACGTTTCAATTAAAAATTTCTGTATCAACTAAACATTTGTGCATTTCTATTTTTTCTTTGTTTTATGCTTAAAATGAGTCTTTTGTTCACGCCCAGAAACAACTATTTGTGTATTATTACAGCCTCCTTTGTTGAGCAGCTACTTAGCCGATCCTCGAAGGTTGGTTGGTATAGACACCATGGTAGACATTTAATTACAAGTTCGTCTATAAATTCCATATTTATAAACATACCTACATTTACATAATTATGCAAAACATTTCGATATAAATCACATAAAAAAACTCACATTAACTCACATAAAGAAAAATGTACAAACAAATCTTGGGACCAACATTCAACCGTTTCAACACCACACTCATCACCAAATTCAACTAGATGCTATCGCTTAAAATGACAATATTGAGTGTATTGTCTTTTGTGGTAATAGCCTAAAATTTCATACTTTTTAACAATACATGAAATTTACTCTTGTTGAGTCATGCTCATAAACCACAGAAACATGTTAAGGAAATAGTATGTGCGTAGTTTAGTTTATCAATGTATCCGTTCCCACACGGCTAAGAGCCAAGGAACAGTTATTGACGTTAGTTAAATTTCCTTATGTACCATACATAGCTTAAACAGAGGAACTACTCCGACCAACAATAATATTTGTTGTTTGTAATAAAGAGTATAAATACTGCTCTGTAAAATAATAAAAATCAGTTCGATCATTAAGTTTATTCGTGGTTGTTACTGAAGGTATAGAGTATATTAAGAAAGAGATATGGCGAGTAACTCGAACTCAACAGGTTATGGGCCCAGGAGAGGTTTGCTTTTCGATGGAAGCGAAAGCAAATACGAGTTATGGGAGTAAAATTCTTGGGCTATATGCGTCTTCAAAAACTGTACGACGTATTTATCGAATCAGCAAGTGAGAGAGAAGAACCAGAAGCTTCAAAACTGGCTGACGCTTTTGCAGAGTTGGTCCAATGTCTGGACGACAGAGGTTTGTCTCTTGTGATTCGGGAGGTGAACGACAATGGACGGAGAGCTTTAGAAATCTTCAGACATCACTATCAAGGCAGAGGAAAACCTCGCATCATCGCTCTTTACACGGAACTCACTTCGCTGAAGAAAAGTGACGACGAGACTGTCACAGATTATATATTGCGAGCGGAACGATTGGCAACAGCCTTAAGAGAAGCCGAGGAGATAATAAGTGATGCACTACTCATTGCAATGGTTTTAAAGGGTTTGCCAAGCACGTACGACGTCTTTACTTCCGTAACAGTTCAAAGGGAAAGACAAATGACATTTACGGAATTTAAGAACTCGTTACGAAGTTATGAAGAAAATATCAAACCATTGTCACCAAAAACTGAGGTAGGTGACAACGTTATGTATGTGAAACCAAAATTCGACGGAAATTGTTTCAAATGTGGAAGAAAGGGACACAAAAGCTCACAATGCCGAGTGAAGAGGAACAAATGGTGCTCCATATGCAAGACCAAGACCCACGACACGAAAGACTGCCGAAAGACGAAAGAAACATCCAAGTCAGCTAAAGACGAGCAGCGCAGTGACAGCGAACGGCAACACTCCTTCTTATTCGTGTTAAAGGATGAAGAAGAGAACGCTGAAGCAGACGTGAAGGATAAGGATCAAGCGAATTTCACTCTACTGGTGGACACAGGAGCTACAAGCTACATTATTAACGATAAGTCAAAATTTATAGGTTTTGATAGTAAATTTGATAGTAAAGCGTATGCTATTGAATTAGCAGACGGCAGTAAAGCCAACGTAGTAGTCGGTAAAGGTACTACTAAAGTCAAATTAGTTGACTTGCAGGGAAATGCGCAGGATGTCTTATTAAGTAATGCCTTATATGTTGCATCTTACGATCAAAATATATTCTCAGTAAATGCTGCCGTAGAAAAGGAAGCAAAAGTCAAATTAGATAAACACGATAAGCATGTACAGTGCCCTGATGGCACAACGTTTGTAATAAAACAAAAAGGCAAACTTTACTATATAAATAGCATATCATCTTCGAATAAAATGCATGTTCTCTGTACGAGTGGCACAAGATTCTAGATCACTGTAACTACAAGGATGTTAGGAAACTACAGATGGTGGTTAAGGGGATGAAAATCACAGACCTGAGGGAAGTTGAGTGTGAGGGTTGTACGCAAGGCAAAATGTGTCAGACGGAATTGTAATTAAAATTACAAAATTCCAAAAAGTTAGACCCTAGAAGTAAACAAGGTATTTTCGTAGGGTATGATAAAAATAGTCCAGCATATCTAGTATACTACCCTGACATTAACAAGGTAGAGCGTGTAAGATGCGTTAAGTTCTTCAGGGAGGGTAGCAAGGAACTGCCAGAACTAGATGATGAAGAACTTGCACCTCAAATAGCAAAATTGCATGAAAGAAACCACAAAACAACTAACAAAGACATTAGTGCTCCAGAGACATCTAGAGAATTAAGATACCCCACTAGGATAAGAAGTAAGCCTAAATATCTTGACGAGTATGTGACAGAGGAAGTTTCAGGGGAGGAAACTGTCTCATATACCGTAGATTATTGCTATAGAGTATCCAACATCCCAACGACCTATCCCAAGCAATAAGCTGCAATGAGAAAATAAAATGGCAAAAAGCCATGAATGATGAAATGAAAGCGTTGATTGACAATGATACGTTTGAACTTGTTCCACCACCAGCAAATAGAGACATAGGAAATGGGTATACACCGTAAAAGT